ATTAGGAGTCCTCCTCAATTCAAATGAGCTGCTGCTAGAGGAGGGCTTTTTTCCATGCCCTGGAGATTTGGTTGACAATGATTGGGTCTTCCAGGAAAGAAAAAGCAAGTAATGATGGGCTTATGTGGATGTCCAAAATTGTTCCCACTCTGTGGTTAAATGCCAAGTGAAGGCCAAGTCTACAACAGACCAAATAATTCATCTCCAAATTAAATTTTCTACAGCTATCTCTGGTCTGCAGTGTGCATAATGATCTAGGAATTGTCAAAGTGAATTGTTCCTGCCTGGTGGATACTTTAGCGTCAGTCTTGGATTCCCTAAATCAATCGGCCTGTGGAATATCCAGATAACTCAGGCAGAAATTGATTGATTTAACACATACTTTGGTGAGTAACTATTGCCTGGTGCAGACCATGCCAGCCTTTGATCATAGGAATTCCTAAATCATTTCTCATCTGGGTCTTCCTAAGGAGACTTGGCCCTGAGAGGCTCTCTTAACCTCTTAAATCATCCTGGGTCTCTTTAGAGACTCACATTCTTCAGCTATGACTCCTCCCACCCATGTGAGACTCTCCTTTTGAAAGCCACAAAGAGAAAGGGAGTTATCTGGGGCCCCTTTCCTCCTTGAACCAGCTCCCCACGTTGAGTTTCTGAGAGCCCCTAAAGAAGCCTCTCTTGGCAGTGACTATACCCTGGGTTCTGGTTCTTTTGGCAGGAGCAGGTGTGATGACCTGAATCTGAGAATACACAAACGGGCAGACAGAGTACTTCATGGTGTTGTGGGGCTGCATGTCCTTTCCCTTTGCTGATGTTGTTTCAAGTGTTTCTATGAGGGCATTACCCTCTGTCAATGTTCCTAATGCCTTTAGTTATCTTTTGCTGTGTAAGAAACTACCCCCAAAACTTAGTGGCTTAAAACAGAAAGGATTCTTATTTCTCACAATTCTGTGAGTTGGCTGGGCTCAGCTGGGCAGTTCTTCTGCTCTGCACTGAGTTGACTGAAGTCACTCATGTGGCTGCATTTAGCTGGGGGCTTGGCTGGGGCTGGAATGCCCAACATGGTTTCACTTACATGTCTGGTGCCTCAAATGGGGTGGCTCGAGGAGTAGGGAGCTGGCTAAGCTCTCCCTCTCCCCATGGCCTCTATCTGGCTTGAGCTTATATACATGGCAACTGAAACCCCAAAAGGCTGAAAATGGACATTCTCAGGTCTTGTAAGTCATGAGCCTGTAACTGGCAGAGCATCCCCTCCTTCTCATTCTTTTAGTCAAATCAAGTCAAAAAGTTACTCCTGGTTCAAGGGAAGGGAAGGTAGATTGTGGCTCTTGATGGGGTGTGTGGTCATAGGGAGGGAGGAATTTTTGCATCATTGTTGAAAACAATTTACCACGTTAATGAAGGAAAGGAAATCAGCAAAGTGATCAAGTTTGTGTGGCTCGTATAACATACCAATTGCTATGTTTTTAATGTTAAAATTGTCCATGAGGACCCCTTGCAAGGTTTCAAGGAAAAGTGTGTAGAACTAACTCCATTTTATTGACTAAAGTATATTCTCGTTAAAATAAAAGCCCATTGAAATGAATCTATAATGACAGAAAGCAGATCAGTAGTTACCTGGAGCTGAGGATGGGGAGGGGGCTTGGAGATCTTTTGGAGGTGATGGAAGCATTCTATATCTTCAATATGGTGGTGGTATACATTTGTGGTGTACATTTATTAAAATTCATTGAACTGTGCATTTTAGGATTGGGCACAGTGGCTCACGCCTGTAATCCTAGCACTCTGGGAGGCTGAGGCAGGAGAATCGTTTGAGGTCAGTAGTTCAAGGCCAGCCTGAGCAACAGTGACAACTCGTCTCTACAAAGAGTAGAAAATTTAGCTGGGTGTAGTGATGTCTTGCACATGTAAGTCCCAGTTACTCTGGAGGCTGAGACAGGAGCATCACTTGAGCCCAGGAGTTTGAGGTTGTTGTGAGCTGTGATGACACCACTGCACTCTAGCCACAGCAACAGAACAAGACTTTGTCTCAAATAAATGTATATAAATTCTACCTCTATAGAGTTGATGCCAAAAAACCTAAAGTCTACCTAGTATGAATGTTCAGAAAGGCTAAGTTTGAAATGTGGTTAAATAAAGCTGGTGTTAGTGGGATACTATATTTACAAACAATAGCAAATTCCTTTGGGGAGGGAAAGGAAGCAAAGAGCTAAAGGGGATGTTTTGTTAGTCCTAAAGCAGGATGCACGTTAACCACGTCCTCCTGCTGCAATTGTACTTTAAAGCATTTGCTATCATTTTCAGAATGTTGAGTAGGTGATTCTTGGTGTTCCATAGATTATTGAAGAGTGACTACATCCTGCTTCCTGGGGTGCAGGAAGGGCTGGGATCATCTCAACGCAAACAACAAAATGTGTGGGTCATTTTTACTAGACCGTTTTGGAATTAAACTGGAGCCAGCATTGGAGAAAACTAATTGGTAACCTTTCCTGATTGCCCCAGGGATTTCCTAGCTCCAGGAGTCCAGACCCTGCAAAGCAGGTCATCTGAGTAAAGTCTGCACATTATGTGGGGTCTAAACAGTGTCAAGAAGTGTCAAGGGGCTAAGGTTGGTAGATGAGTGTGTTAAGGTCTGTCTGGCAAATGCATCCCACTAGAGTCTTGCTCTGTCCTCCAGGCTAGGACACGTGGAGACAGGACCAGCGACTGCCAAGCTTTGAGATCCAGCTCTGGGGAAAGAGACTGTTTTGAAAAGACAGGAGAGAGAACAACGTTTAGATTTTCTTGAGGAGTACAGAGACTGGCCAAAAATGCCCATGGTGGAAAAGCAATATACTTCTCCAGAAATGGGAAGGGACAGGGATCCTCCCTGCAGAAAGTGAATTGAGTGTCTGGGGGGACAAGGGGATGTCACCCAAGTGGCCCTTGGTTGGGAAGGACAGCCCTTGGTCTCCTGCATTCTCTATGTACACCTAGTGGTTGGACCGGGAGCTGCAGTGTAGATCTTCTTTAAAGACTTTTTATTTTGAGACAGAGTCTTGCTCTGTCCCCCAGGCTAGGGTACAGTGGCATCATCATAGATCACTGTAACCTCAAACTCCTGGGCTCAAATGATCCTCCTGCCTCAGCCTCCCGAGTAGCTGGGACTACATGCCGATGCCACCACGCCTGGCTAATTTTTTCTATTTTTAGTAGTGACAAGATCTCGCTCTTCAGGCTGGTCTCGAACTCCTGAGCTCAAGTGATCCTCCCACCTCATCCTCCTGCAGTGCTAGGATTACAGGCATGAGCCACCTCCCCTGGCCTAAAGACTCTTCTTTAAATGAACACACACTTGGGAAAGCAAGCGTTAAACAGAAATTACTCTTCCGTTAGAACTCACTGCGTCCACACCAGCGATGATTGCAATTTCATGCAGTCATATCAGCAAAGCACAATTATCACAGACCACTGGTTTTTGCGTTACACTGGGTAGTAATCTTAGTTTCTATCGGAATTCTACTTGAACCTTTAATTAGTAGGGTCAGGCCCAGAGCAAACCCTCTCTGGGGCCAAACTTTCCAGTGGAATAAATAAAGCACACACACCACCAAAGAAGGAGAAAGGGTCCACAACACAGCAGCTGTCCACTTCCCTTTGCAGGGGCTCACCATGAAGGATCAGGTTTTTCCCTCGCTGTAATTTCCTCATCAGTGACTGTCCTTATCCCTTCCTCACATAATTGTAACTATTGATACTAATTTCTTGAGAAATTGTTCTGCTGAAGGAATGTTGGAAAGAATCGGATTGAATACTTACATATTAATTAGTATTAAATTATGAATTATTGACAAGGTCTTAACTTTTACCTTCCTGAAGACTTTGGATTAGGATATTTTAGTCTTAGGCTAAAGGAATAAAAATGTCTAAGGGGAGATTTCAGGCAATAGTAATCAGAAAACCCCTCCTTAACAACAATGTGGAAGGAAAAGTCTTCCTGGGATCATGTTCGAGGAAGCCAAGTGTGAGACGACCCCGCCTTACTGCTCTTGTGAGATCCAAGAAAACTCACAAACAGCAGCCCCCGGCGGCGTGGAGTGCTCAGCTACGGGCATCTCATTCTATAGCAACTACAAATGCAATTCCTGTGCCTTCCTGAACTTCCATTAACAATTCGTTTCTCCCTTTTTCTAATGTTCCTTAAGTCTCAAAATCCTCAATTTAATATTTAACTTTCTGGTCAATGTTCTTGGTTCAGGGTCTCAAGAGCCAGCCCAGAGGCAGAGGCGCAGGATAAACATCTCACTTGCAGAGACGTTCACACACGACGCCTGGTTTCCAGGGCGCTTATGAACTGTCAAGTGACTCAGAAATACTAAGGACTCATCCTGACGGAGTCCAGAGGGAACGGATGACTTCATCTGCAGCCGACCCAGGGAAGAAGGCACATCTGTCATCGCCTTGACAGTGTTCCGGCCGGCCGAGCCGAGCTCCTGGAAGCGGCAGGGTCGGGGTCAGCTCACGTCTGGCTCCTCCTGCAAGAGCGCTCTGGGCGCAGACTCGGCAGGGAGGGAAGTCAGGAGCACTCCAGGCACCTCGCCCCAAACCGACACAGGAACTGGCTGCCTCTGGGGAAACTGACTCTGAAAGATGCTTCTGGCTCCTCTTGTACCTGCATCCGAGGAAACCATGCCAGTCACCCCTCGCCTCCCCAGACGGGCCCCCCTGCAGCCCCCTGAACACCTTGTGATCGCTCATTCCTCACTTACTATCTGGACACGGTCCCCTCATGGCCGCACAAGGAGGACCAGCTGCTCTGCGGTTGCCATGAGGCCCTGCGGCTGTAACTGGGCACTAATGTGCACTTTGGCTTCCGTCCTCTAATCTTACTGAACACTTCTGTCTGGCTGGGAAGGCAAAATGCTTCACCTTCCAGTACTAAAATCGACAGACTGCTACTGCACCCTAAGGTGACACATCCATCAGAATTCTTAATGGCAAATGAAACAATCCACAGTCCAAGATTAAGTAGCAAACCATTTATTTGAAGGATATTGGGGGGCTCACAGAGTCTCCAGGAAGGCCAGAAAATCAGGCCTGCAGGCTCTTCAGCCTGGAACAATACCCAAATCATCTTCTCCCAGCTGAGTGCAGGTGCTGCTGGCACTTTGCATACTGAGACGGGACTGCCAGGACCTCTGCCCCTGCCGCCCCTGAGTTCTTAATGACTGCTCCACTGAGCCCCTACGAAGACCAGGGGAGGATTCCTCCAAGGGTCTTCCTGTAAAGGGGCATCTGATGGGTAGGGCTCATGTCACATGCTCATGTCCTGGCTGCAAGGGATCCTGGGAAATGTAGTCTGGTTTAAAAGTCCCTAAAAATAGGAAAGGTATTTATTCAAAAGATGCTCACTGGCCACAAATGACACATATCCATTCTACATGGTCCCTCATTATAGTCACTGTGGCCTGAACACAGGCATGTCTACACTCCATCTGCTGTTAGTTGTCTTTTGCAAAGGTGAGATGGTGCAGTTAATGTGTGTATTAGTTCCCTATGGTTGCTGTAACAACAACAACAAAGTTGTTTTATTGGCTTAAAATGACAAAAATGTATTCTCTTGCAGTTCAGGAGGTCGGAATTTTAAATTCAGCTTCACTGGGCTACAATCAAGGTGCTGGCAAGCCAGCATTCCTTCTGGAGGCCCTAGGAGAATCTGTTTTCTTGGCTTTTTCCACTTCTCGAGGCTGCCTGCATTCCTTGGCTTGTGGCCCCTTCCTTGCTTCTTGCTTCTGTCCCACATCTCCTGTTACTCCCTCTGACCCTCCTGCCTCCCTCTCACAAGACTCTTGCTGTTCCTCTAGCCCTGCCCAGACAGCCCGGGGGGCCTCCTTACCTCCAGGTCCTCAACTTAATCACTACGCCTGCACAGTCCCTTTTAGCACATCAGGCAACGCAGTCACAAGTCCTGGGGATTCGGCACATGGAGATAATTAGGGCCATTATTCAGCTTGCCCCCAGGTGTCTCTGAGGAAGGGCAGCTGCTGTCTGCACAAAGGGCCTGCGAGCAGAGTGGAGTTCCTCTGGTGAATTCACCGTGGTCCAGAGTCAGTCTCCATCCTTGCCAGTATCCCAGACTCGGAGATGTTGGCTCGGGCCCAGCAGACACCCACGACATTGCTGAATAAGCTGGAATGCCAATGAGTTTGTTTATTCCTTCTCAGTGGACACCATTCCTTCCCAGAGAGGCCCGCCTGGTGTCTGAACACCTGTGTGGCCAAGTTAACAATCAGAAGTCTGCTTGCTGGACATGAGCTCAAGCCAGTTCTGGCAGAGGCTCCCAGGGGTGCTCCACCCAGGTAGCAGCTAACAACAGAGCTCACCTTTCTATGGGCCAGATTCTGCATTTTTCCCTAAGCAGAACTGGATGCAACTCCCAACCACGAGCTTTGTCCCCCTTGTGGCGTAAGCCGGGATCTCAGAATCATCTCCTCCCTCCCTCGCACTTGACGTTGAATCCATCACCAGTGCCATCTCTTCTTCCTAACTATCTCTGAAATCCAATCATGTTTGAATCTCTCTCCCACCCCCTAGTCCAAGCCGCCTAACCTGCTTCACTGGAACAGCCTCCTCGTGGGCCTTCCTGTCCCTACTTTTGGTCCCCTCCTGTCAAATTCTCTACCCTGCAGCCAGATTGACCCTTTTCAGATATAATCTGATCATGTCTCTCCCTCATTTAAAGTGGGCCTCACATTATCATTGGAGTAAAGCCCATGTGTTAGTCCAGATTCCCCAAGAAGCAGACCCCAACTTAGAATTAAACATGCAAGGGTTTTATCTGGGGAACTGTCTGGCAGAAACATGGGTGGGAATTGGAGGAGTCTGGGAGAGTCACAAACCGTGATCCAAGTCTGACCCCAAGGGAAGGGGAGGGTGAGACCTGAGGGCAGACATATCCGAGGCTGCCCTGTGGTCTCAGGAAGGTTCAGCAAAGCCACTGTGGATTTCTTAGGCCACAGCTGGCAACTGAGGAGGCCACGCCTGGAGGAAGCCTGGCTTTGGCACAAGCAGCAGGGGCCCTTGCTCCCTGGAGTTAGAGGTCCCCACCAAGTGCATTCGTCTGGCCATGACACCCCAATCCTCATCACACCTGCAGCCCACGTCTCCCACTCACCTGCCCCACCGACCCAGCTTACTTTCCTATATCTAAGCCTTTGTAAATGCTGTTTTCTCTGCCTGGATTTCTCATCTTCGTGCCTCCCTGTCCCTATTCCCTTCACCCAACTACCTGAAGTCTCAGCTGAAATATCGCTTCCTCTCAGGAGCAACCCCATCCCTCTACCCTGTGTCCCCATAGCCCTGGGTCTTTCTCTGTCTATACTACTCATCTCTGTGTTTAAGGCCTGACTCCTCAGATCTTCTACTCCAGCAGGTGGGAACCATGACTATTTTATCCACTGCCATCTCTCCAAAGCCTGGCATATAGTAAGTGCTCAGTAAAATATTCACTGTTGAGCCAGCAAGGCTACCTGAAAGACAGTGCCACCCAGGACAGTCTTGTGTATGCAAAGAAAGAGTGTCACAGTTTACAGGTACTCCATGTCAACCATGGAGGCTCAGAAAAGGGAAGCACAAGGGCAAATTGGCAGAGCCCACCCAAGTACCAGCATGAGTGCAACATTATGAGCACCTAACTGCACCACTGAACATCTACTGCATGCGAGGTGCTAGTGGTTAACCAATGAGGAGAACCTCTTAAAGTCTAATGAGGTGCTTATGGTCAGTCTAGGAGAGAGATGGTCAGTCCCGTCAGGCTATTAGAAATTCTGACTCTTCTAGCAGGCGTATGTGCATCTATGATTAAGTGTAGTGGCCATAATATTTAACTGATACGCACAGACACTGGCCAATTCAAACAGACACAAGCCATCTGGCATAGCTATGAAAAAGATTCCAGCTAAATATTTGCTGAATGAATGCAAGCAGAGAGCCATTCCATTTCCCTGGAATCATACCTCTCGCTGTACTTACTCTGAGCCACACCCACCAAAGTCCCCCCACACCCTGCCCCTGCTTGTTGGGTTGGTTGGGCTGGTGTAACTATCTGATCTTATTTGTCAGTTTAAGTGATGGCTTCATGCATCAGTCTCTTATCTGACCCAGAGCTCCTTGAGCCCCAGCAATGCTGAGTCATGGACAAGACAAGGTTTCTCAGCATTCATGACTGAGATCTGGAACCTGGGCCATGGTCACCTTCGTTAGGGCCAGGCAAACTTGTGAGCTCCCTTCCTTGTGACTCTGGACCTCTCTTTGCTGGCAGACTGCTGTCTTGATGGCTGCCATTTAGGCCTGGGAGTTGATACTTGGTTGGGGGGGGTGGCCTCTCAGAAGGCAAGCTCGGGAGCAGTCTTCCAAGAAGTTGCCTCTAAAAACAACAAAAAAAGAAAAGAAAAGAAAGAAAGGAAGGAAGGAAGGAAGGAAGGAAGGAAGGAAGGAAGGAAGGAAGGAAGGAAGAAAGAGAAATTTAAAAATCAACAAAAAATAAAAGAAACAAAAAACCAAGAAGTTGCCTCTGATAGTTGAGTCATGGGGGGAGGGTAATTACCCGGGCATTACAAATTGGTGACAGAATTGGTATGGATCTCAATAGCAGACCTAGGGCAGATAGCTGGGGGCTGCCAACCAGAGACTTGATTATCAGTGTAAGAATTAAGCAAGCAGGTGCTGACAGCTGGGAGTCTGGAAGTGGTAGGAAATGGAAAAACTGGTGTCCTGTGTGTTCATTCTCAGGTGTGCTGAAGATGCAGTAGTTTCTGCAGCTGTGAGCATTAAAGGTACCATTTGCGTCAGTCTAACAGGTGCCAGGAACACGCCCCCCACCCGGCCCCTTCCTAATTACCTGTCACTTCTGCATCAAGTTCTCCAAAGTGAATTTTTGTTCAACATGTCCTAATCCTAGCTGTCCCAGACATGGGTAGGATAATAATTGATTCTTAAATTTTTTGACCTCAGCTTTTACCAAGCACCATCAAAGCAGAAGGTACAATACAAACCCTTAAATTAGCTATCGTTTGGCAGCCAGGCTATGCTTGGAGAACAGCCACAGTTGTTACAGCTGCATGTTGTGTGTGTTTATGTTTGTGTGAGTTTGGAGTTCAAGGAGGCCCAGATAGTAGGGAAGGAGAGGCAAAGCCCGGGCTCTCATTTGGAACATTCTATCCCATGAGAGAAGATTTTTCCGAAGAGGGAAGATTTCTCCCAAGAGCTCAGTGCAATGAGTGAAAGCAATTTAGAAGGCTGCCAGGCCCAGGGGAGACCCAAAGCATCAGAAGTAGGAGACTGAGGGTCCTGAATGGGAAACAGAAGTTAGAATTGAGGGGAGGGCTCCTGGGAAACACTACATTTCAGAACCCAAGATAGAGCCCACCCAGGGCTCATGGTTATGCAAGAGAAAAAGGAATCTGTTGTCTAATTGAATTGTTAAAATGTATGGAATTCCTTAATGGCACCTTCACAGCATGGACTGGTATGGGAAAAGAACAAAGTAGGTAAAGCTACACCCACTGGCATGGAAAGATTGGCCACTGCATAGTTTAAGAAGCACGTCTCAGAGCAATACAGATAACATAATCTTTTTCATTTAAAAACTATATTTATATATGTGTAGAAAATGCATGTAAGGATATATACCAAATTGTTAATGATGGGTATTTCTGGGAACGGGGTTAGAGGTAATGGATTTGGGGAGATGGATAGGTGGAGGAGTTTGATAACTTATTTTTACTTTATACATTTGTGAAATGTTATATATTCTGCATGTAATTGTATATATTTTATAGGATGAGCATTTATTGTTTTAAGAAAATAATAAGCAATAGAAGTGGCAAAAAAAAAAAATGTATGGAATTCCTGCAGGGATGCTTCCCATTTGGAGTGTCCAACTTACATGAGAACTATGAGATTGAGTGAATGGCACCAGAGGACACAAGTCCAATGGAAAGTTTCTTTAAGTGTGTTTTAAGGGTCATCTGCCTGAGAAGTCAATGAAGTCAAATGTTTGCCAAAAACAAAAGGCAGAGTCGTGGCCCATTCCCTGGGCCTACTGACTCAGAACCCCCCGCAGGTGGGGCCTGGGCGCCTACTCTTGGACTGGTGACTCTTAAAGCTTAGGAAGTCCAAATGCTGCTCATAGGTCACACAATCAAGTGAGGAAGCAGAGATGGTGGCTTCCTCTGCCTCCCACACAATTTTCAATGTTTTAGGAAGTGCCATAGAGGAAGGCAAAGTAGACGAACGCATTTTTCTTTGGCCTCCTACCATTTTGTTTTTCATTTTTAAATTTTATTTTCATTTTGAGCACTCAAAATGTGAGAAGAAAAAGGGCATCCTTTTTTGTTTTTCACCTGCGTGGGCCTGGAGTGCCCTGTGAAAGGTGCCCTGCCCCGTCTTGCCCCATTCTCACAGCCTGCTTTTCAGCAGGGCCCCTGACTCCCTCAGGGGGTCACCGCCAAGAACCCCTGGAGAATATGCTGTTTCCTGATTCAGCTGGGTCTCCAGGTCTGAACACCCAAGATCAGCATCTAAAATTAGGGGCTGGGCAGGCTTACTTGAACGGGAAAAGAGCCAAGAGCCAGAGGACTCCTTGGATTTCCAAAGATCTGAACAAAGGAGCTGAACGCCCTCTAGTGGGCGAGAATATGCTTCCCAGCCCTGCTTAAGGGCCTGGCTCAGGCCTGCCTCTGAGCCCACCCATCAGGCAGTAACCAAAGGGCGAGCCCCTGGAAACACCACTCAAGATCCCTGACTAAGGGTAAAAAGTGGAAAAAATGTGCTGTTGTGTTTTACTAATTTCAATGTGATTTTAGGATACATTGCCATAATGCATAATGTTCTAATAATGATTGCCTTCTGTAATCTCAGTGAGATTAAGGCAACTACAGGTAATTCACACACATATAACATGTAACCTGTTAAGATATCCAAGCACCTCGGACTCCACACCAAGAATTCCGTCTGGGAAGGTTGGTCTCTGGGGAGAGGCAACTAGCTTTGGGACAGGCATTCAGGAGCTGTAAAAGAGGAAAGAGACACCTTGCAAATGAGGATATTTGGCTGAATCACTCTAGGCACTATCTGAGAGCTGTTTCTGCTGGCCAGATTGTCCTCTCACCTGAAGTTATCAACTCAGTTACCCCTCAATCCTACTGTACATATTTTGAGAAAGAAAATACACAAATGAACAGTAAAGTGCCTACTTAATAGGGTTTGAAAGAAGTAGATTGTGCCTAAAAGACACCAGACTTCTCCAGAAAAGGATACAAGAACAACAACAACAAAAACTACAGACCAATATCCCTTATGAACATACATGCAAATATTCTAAACAAAATACTAGCAAACTGAATTCAACACATCAAAAAAATAATTCACCACAATCAAGTGGGTTTCATCTCAGGGATGCCATGATGGCACAACATACACAAATCAATAAATGTGATTCACCACATAAATAGAATGAAAGACAAAAACCATATGATCATCTCAGTAGATGCAGAAAAAGCATTTGATAAAATCCACTATCCCTTCATAATAAAAACCCTTAAAAAACTAGGCATGGAAGGAACATACCTCAAAATAATAAAAGGCATATATGAAAAAAGCCCACGGTCAATCATACTGAGTGGGGAAAAGTTGAAAGCATTCCCTCTAAGGACTGGAACCAGACAGAGATGCCCACGTTCACCACTTCTATTCAATATAGTACTAGAAGTCCTAGCCAAAGCAATCAAGTAAGTGGAAGAAATAAAAGGAATCCGAATAGAAAAAAGGGAGGTCAAACTATCCCTGTGTGCCAATGGTATGACCCTACATCTGGAAAAACCTAAAGATTCCTCCAAAAGACTCCTAGAATTGATAAATAAATTCAGTAAACTCTCAGGTTACAAAATTAATGTACACAAATCAATAGCGTTTCTATACTATTATATATATAGTAACAGCCAACCTGAGAATCAGATCAAGAACTCAATACAATTTATAAAAATGCAAAAAAGTAAAATAAAATATCTAGGAATATATTTAACCAAGGAGGTGAAAGATCTCACAAGGAGAACCATAAAAAATACTGATGAAAGAAATCGCTGATGACACAAACAAATGGAAAAACATCCCATGCTTGTGGAGTAGAAGAATCAATATTTTTTAAATGTCCATACTGCCCAAAGTGATTTATAGATTCAGTGCAATCCCCATCAAAATAACAACATCATTTTTCACAGAACTAGAAAAAACAATACTGAATTTCACATGAAATAAAAAAAGAGCCCAAATAACCAAAGTAATCCTAAGTAAAAAGAACAAAACTAGAGGCATCAATCACATTACCTGACTTCAAATTATAGTATAGGGTAAGTAATCAAAATAGCATGGTATTGGTATAAAAATAGACACATAGATCAATGGAACAGAATAGATAACCCAGAAATAAAACCAAATACCTATAACCAACTGATCTTTGCCAAAGCAGACAAAAACATACACTGGGGAAAAGATGCTATATTCAACAAATGGTGCTGGGAAAATTAGATAGCCACATACAGAAGAATGAAACTGGATCCCTATCTCTTACCATACACAAAAATTAACTCAAGATTGATTAAAGACTTAAACGTAAGACCTGATACCAGAAAATTCTAGAAGAAAACTTAGGCAAAACTCTTCTGGACATTGGTCTGGGCAAAGAATTTATGACTAAGACCTCAAAACAAATACAACAAAATAAATAAATGGGACTTAATTAACCAAAAATTTCTGCATAGCAAAAGAAATAACTAATAGAGTAAATAGACAACCTACAGAATTGAAGAAAATATTCACAAACTATACATCCAACAAAGGACTAATATCCAGAATCTATAAGGAACTCAAATCAGCAAGAAAAAATACAAAAACAAAAACAAATAACCCCATTTAAAAAAGACATGAACAGACATTTTTCAAAAGAAGATCTACAAATGGCCAATAAACATATGAAAAAATGTTCAACATCCTTAATCATCAGGGAAATGCAAATTAAAACAATTAAAACCACAATGAGATATTACCTTACCTCTGTCAGAATGGCCATTATTAAAAAGTCAAAAAACAATAGATGTTGGCATGGAAACAGTAAGAAGGGAATGCTTATTCACTGTTGGTAGGAATGTAAATTAGTACAACCTTTATGGAAAGCAGTATGGAGATTCCTCAGCTAAAAGTAGACCTACCATTCAATCCAGCAATCCCACTACTGGGTATCTACCCAAAGGAAAATAAGTCATTATATCAAAAAGACACATGCACTTGTATGTTTATTGCCCCACAATTCACAATTGCAAAGAGATGGAATCAGCCTAAGTGCCCAGCAACTGAAGAGTGGATAAAGAAAATGTGGTATATATAATATTAATATATACTATGGAGTACTACTCAGCCATAAAAAGAATGAAATAATGTCTTTTTTAGCAACTTGCATGGAACTGGAAGCTATAATCCTAAGTGAAGTATCTCAGGAATGGAAAAACAAAGACCACATGCTCTCATTTATGAGTGGGAGCTGAGTGATGGGTATACATGGTCACACAGATTGGTATAAGGGACTTTGGAGACTCAGAAAGGGGGAGGGGGAGGGATTAAAAACTACCTACTGGGTACTACGATGTTTCCCCGAAAATAAAACAGGGTCTTATATATTTCCTCAAGAAGACACGCTAGGGCTTATTTTCAGGGGGTGTGTTATTTTTTGTAAGTACAGTACTACAATCTACATTTATTCAAATATAGTTAACTCGTCTTCTTCTGGAACATCATCATAACTCTCCAAACCCCGAATTCCATCCTGAATTTCTTGCAACTTTATTTCCTTTAGAACCATTGGCCCCAATCTCTCATGTCGAGCAATGAAGCTCTCATGGGGCAGATGAGAAGGGCTGCTCGTCTTCTTTACCGCTCCACGACGAAATGCATGGGTTGTGCAGATGTGCTGCATAGCCACGCCCAACACTAAGTCTATTTTCGGGGTAGGGCTTATATTGTGCAAATGCTTAGAAATCCTGCTAGGACTTATTTTATGGGTAGGTCTTATTTTCGGGGAAACACAGTATGTATACTATTTGGGTGATGGGTTCACTTAAAGCCTGGCTTAGTAACTATACAATTCATCCGTGTTCCAAGAAACTACTCATACTCCCTAAATCCATTGAAATAAAAAAAATTTTAAGAAAAGACTCCAGGCTTTTAATAAAAGCTTAAAAAATAAAAGTGCACATCACCTCACACCCATTAGGATGGCTACTATGAAAGAAAGGGAAGAAAGGAAGGAAAGAAGGAAGGAAGGAGTCAGTAAGGATGGAGATATCGGAACACTTGTTCATGGTCGTGGTAATGTAGAATGGTACAGCTGCTATGAAAAGCAGCATGACGGTTCCTCAAAAAATTAACAAAGGAATTACTACATACCACAATTCTACTTCTGGGCATATAACTCCACGAATTGAAAGCAGGGCCTCAAAGAAATATTTACACATCCATTTTCACAGCACATGATTCACAGCAGCCAAAGGGTGGAAGCAACCAAAGTGTCTATCAACAGATGAATGGATAACTCAAATGTGGTCTGTATATACAACGATCTATAATTCAGCCTTTAAAAAAATGAAATTCGGACACATCCTGCAGCATGGATGAACTTTGGGACATTATTCTAAGTAAAATAAGCCAGACACAAAAAGACAAATATTGTATGATTCCATTTATATGACATATTTAGTCATCAAAATCCCAGAAAAGGATAGTAGGATGGTGGCTGCTGGGGGCTAGGAACAGGGGAATAGGAGTTATTGTTTAATGTGTAGGGAGTTTTAGTTTTGCAAGATGACAAAGTTCTGGAGAGCTTCGAGCGATAATGACGTGCCAATGCAGGTTCACCAAGTGTAACAAATGCACGGCTGTGGCGGGGATGTCAACAGTCAGGGAGGCTGTGGCCCTGTGGGGCAGGGCGCATAGAGGAACTCACCACACTTTGCACTCACTTTTGCTATGAACCTAAAAGTGCCCCCAAAAATAAAGTTCAATAATAATGATCAAGGCTGGGTGTGACCGTTTCATGCCTGTAATCTGAGCATTTTGGGAGGCAAAGGCAAGAGGATCACTTGAAATCAGGAGTTCGAGACCAGCCTGAGCAAAAGTGAGACCTTGTCTCTACAAAAAACACAAAAATTAGCCAGGCCTGGTGGGGAGTGCCTGTAGTCCCTGCTATTCAGAAGGCTGAGGCAGGAGTTTCCATAAGCCCAGGAGTGGTGGCTGCAGTGAGCTATGATGACGCCATTACATTCTTGCCCAGGCAACAGAGTGAGACTCTGTCTCAAAAATTAATGAATAAATGAATAATAATTTCTGGAGATGGATGGTGGTGATAGTTGCACAACAATGTGAATGTACTTAATACTATTGAAAACTGCATACTTAAAAATGGTTAAGATGGTAAATTTAATGTGTATTTTACCATAATTAAAAATTTAAAATAAAGTATAAAAACAAAAGGCAGATGGAGACGATGGGCTAGAATGGGACAGTAATCTAGGAACCAGAGAGTACTGTACATTTAGAAATGTCATAAAACGAAGTTATAGTAATTTTTTAAATGTATTTTAGAAGTATTTTATTTATTTACTTTCTTTTTCTTTGGAAAGTGTACAGCCTTTGCAAAAAAAAATATTATCTTAACAAACATTTACTTCAAATTTCAAAACCAATTTTATTTTTACTTTTTGTAGAGATGGGGGCTCTCTATGTTGCCCAGGCTGGTCTTGAACTCCTGGTCACAAGCACTCCCCTCCCCCCCCTCAGCCTCCCAAAGTGCTGGGATTACAGGCTTGAGCCACCGAACCCAGTGTAAAAACAAATTTAAATAAAAATTCACAGAAAATAATGCTTCGTGAGACAGGCAAGTGGGGAGAAAGCAGACACAAACATTTTAGGGCCTTTGTTCTGAAGGAACATCACTGAGGTCTGAAGGGGACAGTCGGGATGGAGGGAGGCTGGCTCAAACCAGGGAATCGACCCTCCCCTAGGATCCAGGTGAATCGCAGTTGCTATTCTGAATCATCCAGCTAGGAAAGTGGTTATTTTTAGGCCGGGGAATTGTGATGAAGGAAGATGATGAAGCCAGTGTTTTGTTCCTTCCATCCCTAAGAACCTTTGGACCACCATTCGTCCTTGAAATCATTAGGTGCGTGCAGAAGAGGACCCCAAAAATCGGAAAAAGTTGTGGAAATGTCAGACGCAGGTCTGACATCGTTTGCTTTTCGCTTTTCAGCAGCGAGGAAATCTGGAGGGAAGTTCCCATCCATGCCCAGTGCTTTGCATGGTCCCACACAGAAAGCCCTGAAGGGTGGCACACAGGAAGAGCGTGTGTGCAGCTGCCGGAGGCAGGGAGGCCGGGTGGCCACGGCCTGGCGGGACCCACGTGTCCAGATGAGGCAAACCCCCAGAGCAAGGCCCAAGGTCAGTGTGCTGTTGAGGGCAAACCAGAGGCAGTAGTTAAAGCCGTGAAAAGAGTTCCATTCAGGACTATTGCGACAGGGGAAAGGGACCTTGACACAGAACTGGGCTCAACTGAGAACACAACATGAGCAAGCCGGACTTTATTGCCAACGAGCAGGGGGGTCGGGTAGAAACTTACTAAGAGTTAATTATTAAAGCATCAGGTGCAGGGGGATTCTAGCTAAACCGACTCAGAATATGGAAACAAACATGCGATGCAGTTTCTCCCACTATAAGCTCTCAAGGCCCTTCTGACACCAGACGTTGTGGGGTTGTGGGTCCCACCCATCAAGCAAGTGATCAGTTATGCAGTGGACACCAGCTCAGTGTCCTACAATTGAACTCAATTCTGAAAACTATCTACCTGGAAATAGTGTCAGATCCCACAGGGTGAGGGCTCAGTCCCCAAGTCTGGCCCCACTTCCAACAATTGCAAGCCCCGGTGGTTTTACCTGTGCTCCTACTGACCATCCACGCATCAGGGTTCCCACGCCCCTCCTCGAATGCAACTAATTTGCTGGAGCGGCTCAGAGAACTCAGGGAACCACTTTGCTCACGTTGACCGGCTTATTACAAAGGGTTCCAAGGGTGCAGAGGGAAGAGCTGTATAGAGAAGGCATGTGGGGGGATGCGGGGCCTCCATGCCCTCTCCTGGCATGCCACCTGTCCTTTTGGGTTTTTATGGAGGCTGCATTACATACACAGGATTGAGGACATCAGCGGCCACTGGTCATGGACTTGACCTTCAGCCCCTTCCTCCTCCCCAGCGGTTGGGCGCGGGGCTGGAAGTCTCAACCCTCTAACCTGCCCTGGTCTTCTGGTGACCGGCCCCAGCCTGAGGCCGCCCAGGGGCTGCCGGCCACCAGTCAGCTCCCAGCAGGCCGCAGCGCTCCCTCAGTGAGGGCAGAACCTGCGGGAGTGAGGGGGCAAGGGAGGACGTGACCCAAAACGCCGAGAAAAGAGAATGTACACGCAGCAAATGTCCCGGCGCCCCCTGGTGCCGCCAGGCCCGAAGGTGACGGGCCCGACCCCATCTCGCGTCATGGCCTGTCCCCGTGTCAGGCGGATCCGGCCAAACGCGCGGCGCGACGAGGCCCGGCCAGGCCCCTCCGCGCCCGGTGCCTTCCCCCGCGCGCCCGGGCTCGGGTGCTGAGGCCCCGCGGGAGCGCGCGGGGCGGGCGCGGCGGCGGCGGCCGGCGGCGGCCTGCGCCGCCCGGCCTGCGGGCGCTCCGCCAGCGGCGAGAACTGTGCGGCGCGCGGAGCAGGTGAGCGCGGCCGGGCCTGTTGCCCGCGGCGGAAGGCCGCTGGGGCTGCGGCCTGCGGCCGGCCTTGCCGCTTGGGCTGCGGCCTGCGTGCGCCGCGCCCGGCCTCTGCGGCCGAGCGAGGGTCGGGGCGGGCGGGGGGCGCGGGCCGGAACTGCGGCTGGGAGGGGCGCCGCGCAGCCCCCAGGCCTGCGCCCGGCCCCAGCCGCTCCTCGCGCCCCCGCCGGAGACCCCGCCAGAGCTGGGGCGCCGCGCGAGCTGTTGGAGGGCCGGTGCATTGAAAGGCACAGTGCACGTGGGGCTGGGGGCGTGTGGCCGGGGCACTTTTCCTTTCCTCCTGCTGGGGACCTCAGTTGCGCCCAGTCCGTCGGCCTGCCGCGGGCCGGGCATGCTTTGCGGCGGAGGGGGAGAGCCAGGGTCGCCCGCGCCTGTGAGGGGCAGGGCCCGGCCAGGCCGGCTTGCCTGACTGGCGGGTTTGTTGTTTTATCAGGCACTGCACAGCTGTGAGGGAAAGCCCAGAATCAAGCTTTTGAAGCTGAAGGAAACTGAAACTGAAGCTAGCGTGGACCCCGAATTTTATTGACGAAGAAACAGCCCACAGAGCTAAAGTGACTTTGCCCAAGGTCGCCCAGGTAGGATATAGCGGAGCCGGAGGAGACCCCGGTGTCCTGGCCTCTTGTTCTGCTGTCCATACCTTGGACCAGACCTCAGCCCTTTGCTAGTTAGATAAAATGTCCCTGTCTGTTGGCTTAGTAAGTCTTCCCTTGTTACTTCAGTTCGTGAAAGCTGTGGCGAAGTGTGATTGGTGAAGCAGCTCCGTCCCCACTCACTGGTGGAGAACTGGGAGCATCCCCGGCAGACAACTGCAGAGGGGCCTGACCCATTGCTGTGGGCTAAGAAACTTCCAGTATGGAGGCCCCTTGCACCTACATAGTCCCTTCTGTAGACACCTGAGCTCCAAGAGCTTCAGCCAAGACCTTTGGCAGTAATTAAAGGCTTTGGATAAGCTGCTTCCGCTATGCTGAATGTGGCTGTGGGAGAGTGTGACCGCCCAGCTGGTGAGGGGCCTGGGGGCCTGGCCCCAGCTCAGAGCTGTGCCCTCAGCTGCCGGACATGGCAGGCAGGCTGTCTGGGATCGGCCTTGCCTTCCAGGGTGTAGGGCTGGAGTGAGGGCTTGGGGGAGTGTTGCATCCGAGTGGAATGGATGTTGTTTCAGATTTTGAGGGAAAACTGCATCCTCTGGTGTTGAAGTGACTGAGTGCCAAGTCTTGAGTACAAGACTTGTTCATGTGTGGGGAGTGAATGACCTGTTTTTATTTGAAAATGGAAGGAAGGAGGAGTATGAGGATGAGGAAGGGCCTGGCCAGAGTCTGCTGCTTGGAGTGCCTGGAAGCATGGTGCATATAGCTGTGCCTGTCCCCCCACCCCCATAGCCCCACTGCCCACGATTTGCCAAATGAGAGACTCTTAACCTACCTTGGCCTTTCTGTTATTGATGTTAGTAACGACAGAACATACCTTGTTTATGAGTTACTCATATACAATCAAAACCTATTTTGTGCACTAGTTATCACAGTTATCTTAAGAATTTCAATAACACTAGGCCGGGCACTGTGGCTCACTCCTGTAATCTTAGCACTTTGGGAGGCCAAAGCAGGAGGATTGCTTGAACTCAGGAGTTCGAGCCCAGCCTGAGCAAGAGTGAGACCCTGTCTCTACTATAAATAGAAAGAAATTAGCCAAACAACTAAAAACAGAAAGAAAAAAAAAAAAGCTGGGCATGGTGGCGCATGCCTGTAGTCCCAGCACTCTGGGAGACTAAGGCAGGAGGCTCGCTTGAGCCCAGGAGTTTGAGGTGGCTGTGAGCTAGGCAGATGCCACAGCACTCTAGCCCAGGGAACTGAGACTCTGTCTCAAAAAAAAAAAAAAAAAGAATTTCAATAACAATAAAGTAGTTATTTTATTTATTTGTTTATTTATTTATTTATTTTGAGACAGGGTCTTGCTCCGTTGCCCAGGCTAGAGTGCAGTGGTGTCATCATAGCTTACTGCAACCTCAAACTCCTGGGCTCAAGCGATCCTTTTGTCTCAGCCTCCCAAGTAGCTGGGACTACAGGTGTGAGCCACCACACCCAGCTAATTTTTCTATTTTTGTAGAAGTGAGGTCTCGCTATATTGCTCAGTTTGGTCTTGAACTCCTTGCCTCAAGCCATCCTCCCCCTTGAGCTCCCAAAGTGCTAGGATTTGAAGTAGTTATTATACTCAGTTTCCCCAGGGAAACTGAAGTTTAGAGGGTTAAGCAGCTGGTCCAGTTGTGTGGTTTCCATGCCTTTGAGCACCAAGATTTGAACATAGTGGGCTATGTCATCTTTATGTTTTGAGTTTTTGCACAGGAGGCTTGCCACATTCACCAGCCAGCCCCATCAGTGCCCCCTTTCTGGGCACTGATGCCCAGAAAGTTTCTGCAGGGTCTTCAGGAGCAACTTCCTGACAAAAAAGATTTTTATTTTTTCCAAAGGAACGGAAACAATATGTGTAGGTCACATGCACGTTTCTGATGAAACATTTGGCTTTGGCTGTTTTTCAGCTGTTGCTTTGACTTTTGGACACTGTTTAGTTGGAAACCGACAAGACAGCAAATGTTCCTGCAAGTATTCCCACCTGTTCCTGGGCTGCTGCAGCTGGGGGCAAGCCTGGTAGGCTGAAAGTCAGGCTTGCCCAGGAGGAATGTTCTGGCTGGATCTGACATGGGGTCAAGCCTGGAGGTGATCTGGCCACCATGTTAATGTCTGGGGGAAAGAATGATTTCAAATCAGTCCTCAGGAAAGACCAAACGTCAACAGGGGAGATGATTGTTTTATAGCCTTTCATTGTCTAGGAAGATGGGTTGCTTGTTCGTCTTTGCTAAAATTCTAGAGCAAGGGAAGAAAAATTTAAAGGGTGCTCCCCTTTCTGCTATACCTTAACCAGAAACATCCTGGCTTTTTCTTTTTAAATAAAAGCATTACATGTTCATTCTAGAAAATAAAGGAAATATTAAGTTATCCATTAGCCTTCAGCACAGAGAGAACCACTCTTAACATGAATTTCCTTCCAGGGCTCCACTCTATGCACATATGTATCTGCGAAAACAGTAGAGGTAGGAAACTGTAGATGGAGTTTTTGCATCCTGTTTTTTCTGTGGATGTTATGCCTTCAGACTTTTCCCTTCATTGAGTATCGGAAAACCGGATTTGATGGGTGTGTAGAGAGAGCATTCGAATGCGCCATTATTTATCTTAGCATTCCCACAGCGGGACACTTTCCCACCCTCCCATTTGGCCCAGAAAAGCAGGGCCCTGTCTCCTTCCCCAGCCCACGTGTGGGCACCTGCCCCGTGGAGCTGCACACACACCAGACAAGCAGCAGCGGAGTGGGCGCTGGGGTGGGAGTTGTGGGCAGGGGGACAAGAGTGAGAATTTATTGGGTTTTTAAGGTTGGCAGATGATCTGGTGAGTGAGTGATTAAGAGGCATTTCTAGACACACCTGCCCGTGGCAAAAGTACATGCCTTGTATATAAATATGCGTGTGTTCCCAGAAAGCCCACATGGGGTGCGGGGGGCTGCCTGTCTGTGTGGCCTTCGCAGGTGCCAAGGGAGCAGGGAAGAGCTCCTTGGTGGGCAGTTTGGAGACCTGAGTTTTAACGGTGGCTTTCGGTCTTGGGACTGTAACGGATTCCATTTGCCCCTCCGGACTGTAGTTACTCATAAAAGAAGAGCTGACAAGGTGGCCTGCAAGATTCCTGCCAGCTCTGACAGTGTCCTGTGGAAGTGCCCTTTCATTTGACAGAACATTCACGTGGTCCAGTGCCCTGGGCTGGGGCGGATGGAAACAGGACCTCTCCCTGGGGCCCGGCCTTTGAGGCCAGCTGGTGTATCTGGTGCTTCATCAGATTAGTAACTTTTCCGGAGGTGTGTCGACAGGCTTCCGTATCCCCTCTCCTGGTGTCCCTCCTCTATTTTGTCTTCTTTACAACTACCATTTATTGAGCACCTACTATGTGCTGGACACTTTATGTATTATCCCTAGCTTTTACAATAATCTTGTAAGGTTTGCCTGTTTTGCTTTTTACAGAAGAGAAAATGGGCTGTGTCAGATTAAATTGTCCAAGGCCATGTAGCCAGGGAGTATGTGGTTCAACTCGAACCTCTGGCTTGCAGCTTCTCATTTAAAAAAACAAAACAAAACAACCAATTTCTGGGCCTTCCTAAGGGTGGCATGCTAGGGGCTCCCTGCCTCTTTCCCCCAAACTGCCCTTTCCCAGGCTCTTTCAGGAAATGAGAGAACTCTGCCTGGGCCCTGGATGCTTCTGCCTAGGAAAGGCTTACTGGAGGTAAATCTAGAGCTTGGTTCTGGAGGCCCCATCAGCTGGTTCCTGGGGCCTGTGGTCCGGGAGCATGGGGTGGTATTTCTGGGCTTCTTCTTGGGACTCAGGCCCCAGCTCTGGCTGAGGCCTCCTCCCTGTGTTGGGAGAACCGTGCAGTCGGCGGTGTGCATCACGATTGGGCTGAGCTGGGTGGACAGATCGTGGTCAGCTGGGCCAAGTCCGTGGTCAGGTCCCTGGGCTGGGGGAGAGGTGGGCACGAAGCTGTGGGAATTTCTCAGGGTATCATCTGACCTTAGCAACCCTTCCTGATTTCAAGGGTAGACTCTGGGACTTCCCAGGAGTCATGCAAGGGCTATGAGGTAGCCACATGACCATTGAAAATGACGTGTTTAAAGCCAATGCTGCCCTCTTTGCAAGCAGGGGGCATTGTTCATTTAGCCTGCCGGGAGACAGAAACCAAGTGTCTGAGAGCCAGACCTTTCCCTGCACCCCCAAGTGTTTGTGGTAAGCACCCTAACTCCCAGTCTGCTTTGTTCCATCTTTTTCCATGAGGCATTAGGGTTTGCTATGGCATTTTAAAATCTGTTTCCTACCTAGTTCTGCTGGCCTTAAATGTTAAGGCCAAAACTTTTACTTTTCTCTGAAACGAAAAGGAGGTGGAGGAAATTGGCTCACCGGGATTTCAGAATGATTGTGAGAACTGCTGACATAAGCACCACTGTGGAGATTCTCTAGGTCAAGCTCCTTGGTTTGGCTAATTCAGCCTTTAGACCCCATTCAGCTGATGAGTGGGCCTGTGCAGTGGCTGCTTCTGAGGTTCGATGTTTGCGTCCTGACCCAGGCAGCTGTGAGCCACAGTGCTTCCTTCTGGGAGAGGTTTCCAGAACGTAGTCTGCACACTGGACGCCTAATGCCCCTCTGCATTTTCCCGCCACTGCCTCAGAGAATGGGGGGAGCAGGGGGTGGGAGACGGGAGAGCCGATTGCTGTCCTGTGTCTCCGATGGGATTTGACACTAACAGTGGGAGCATTGCCCAGCCCCACCCCCACCCGCCTGTGAGTCAGCCTCCCGCGGGAGTTCTTTGCGTCAGGGCACTCCGGTGTGGACAGACCTCGAGCCAGGTTGTTGATCTGCACACATTGGCCCAGGGATTTTTCCCTCCAAGGATTTCAGAGCCCAGTCAGGCGTCAGCACTGGCTTAGGTCTCTCGTAAAGCAGGCTCTTTGGAATTGGAAAGGGAAACAAAGTGCATCGCGGCGCCTCTG